GCTCGATAGGAGGTTTCATATACTTGGTCATTTCCTCATAGAATTCAAGCATCTCGTTAATCTCGTCAGCAGCTTCGACACTTCCATGAGCATTTATGCGCAATGGTATATTGCTCAAACTGATAATTTTGCGATCGTGTGCATAGCTTGAGAAAGAAAGCTTTGCGGCAGGGGATATGCCAGCCAAGGACTTCGCACCTAACCTGGTGGGAACAAGATATCAGAACGGGTAGTTTAAAGCAACCAAAATAGAAGGCCTACGCTGAACAAGACAAGGCATCTGCGCTCTTCGAACGCTTACCAGTCTTTCCATTATTAGAAGAACCACCATCCGTCTTTGTTCTGAAAAAGAGTTAGAGGAAATCGAATGAAGCATGAGCAGTCTAGATTCACTGTTGTCGTCCACGTTCTTCAGCCTGAGCTGACGCCCTATCTGACGGGGTCTTCGAACCTGTAGCTCCAAGGGAGGGCTCTCGGGGATATGTGAGATCGATATCGGGCACAAAGGGTGTAAGATCTGCTGGAGGAAATTCTCGTTTGCTGTCTGCAGACAGCGAGCGCCGCGGATGGCGTGCAGATGTAGCCTTCGAAGAGGCCCGCGTATTCCGCTTTTTGGAGTCAGCCATGTTGTATGAACAGCAGTGAGTTGATGAAGGATCGGAAGGTGCTGTGTGGTCGGTGTCACTGTTTAAATAGATAAAGGACAACGTTAAGGCCAAATGAAGTGACTCCCACCATTTTTCCACCGTATTTAGCCAACAAACAATCCTTTGTTCCCATTGTTCTTCTTCGGAACCGGAATCATCATCATCAATGGTATCTGATCTCCACGGCAGTCGTTTGAACGTCGGAGTTCGGCTTTGGGCAACGATTCCCTCGACATGCGCCCGGAGGCCGATGATGAATTGTGCAAATTTGAGACCACTGACCGCGTCAGTGAGGTCGTACACTCCTAATGAGGGGTCTATACGCGTCCCATCTGCGTGCGCAAAATGAACTGCAGGCTATTCAAATTTATTCAGTGGCGCTAATGAGTCAGGAGAAGCTGACACACTAGATCAGGGTCCACGCATACATTGTCAAGCCAACCGAAGACCACCCGGCCTACCAACCCTGTTTTCGACAGAATAATTCCAATAACAGGCCCAGCAATTCCCCAAGTAGAACGCTGATAAACAACACCGCTCATTAGGCTGAAAATGTCTTCTTCATCCGTGACACAAAGGTACGGGAGAACAACAGAGTTCGGGTGTCGCCAATAAGCAAGAACGTGACCATCAAGGGGAACGTAAGATGACTGGGCAGACGTCGGATCCGTTGAAGCCTCCGTGCGTTCATAGCTGGTGTCACTATCGGAGGATGATTCGTCATCGTAGGAAGTTTCAGAGTCGTATTCTTCCTGCGATGGTTCGTTGGAGCGTTCCGCTCTCATCATAGAAACGTGCCCCGAAGCTTCATCGTCTACAATTGGCCTCGGCCGTTGAATATCTTCAACGATATGAGATATCAGCAATGAAGCATGTCCGTCCCCCATCTTGTTCAGAGAATGTGATGATCGTGGTCGAACGAACGCAACATCTTGCCTACAAACAATCTCGTTAGGAAATAGATCAATTGATTCCATTCAAACGCACCCACATTATATATGACTTATCATAGCACACAAACGACAGCGAACGTATAAGAAGCGACCAAAATGGTATCGTTGACTGCCTAGTATCATCCTTCGAACCGCCGGCGAGAGCTTTGAGCGCGCCAACAGTCGAAAGCAGTAGATCCAAAATATCTAGTACTTCCGAGGAGGAATCTGTGAGATGTTCTGGTGAACATTCTAGGATAATTTCTAGCTCCTCGAGTAACGGAGACGCCCGAGAAGAGACAGGTGGGTATGGGCCATTGGCAAGTCGTGATGGGATTGGAGAGTCAAGTAAGCACGCCAATTGCTGTATCTCAGTGGGCCATTCTGCAGCGCGCGAGACATTGAAATTCAGGGAAGACATATCACAGTCAGTGGTATAATCCTTCGTGGTGGGGCGTCGTTGAAAGAGGAAGACGACGGTCGTCGTGCCGTTCAGTGGCAATGGAGCATGTTCAACTTTACGATTCGGGCCTGTAACTGAACATCTCAGCCACGTGATCTGATTCCTTTTCAGTCGTGTGCCTTTTTCTGTTGACCTGCGCTTACGGATATCTTGTTATTCATAATGCATTTCCATGTAGTTTGAGGTATGTGGTATTCCCTGTACAGGTAATTCACCGGTGTTCACGCAATTCCCGGCACGGAAATACCTGGATTTTGGGGTTGTAGCGTATGATATCGTGCACTGATTTACATCGTCTTCAGCTCATTTCTGCACCAGCGCGATCATCGTATTAGAATTGTAAAATACGATAAAAAGTCGGAAACATTGATGGTGCTCACATTGCGGCCATCCGAGACTACCAGCTAAGCTTGTACTGTATGAACATGCTGTGGCTCTCAGAATATCCATGGTCGTCTTAACAAGCAGCTGGGGGACTACTTTGGACCGTGAGTGACGCGGTTCGGATTGTATTTCACCCAAATCTGATTTATTAATACTCTATCAGCTTCGCTTGAGACAGCGTACAGGCTAGTGTATGATGATTTTGACTTCCAACTCTTTGAAATTGAACCCTGTCGTGTTAGATTGGGGAAACCTTATGAAATGAATTTAACCGTCCATACAACCCGCTCTGGGTTATCTGGCCGCCAAGATACTCGCTGACCAAGCCGCCTCAAAGTTTGCTAGTGAACATCCTGCACTGGATCTCTGAACGAGTATGCCCTTCGGCATGGCTCGGCTCACATTATTTAGTCAATCCGCCGTTCACATATAGTCCCTTTGACCCAAATCTTGCACCTCCGACTCCAGACGGATTGGGGGCAAACCGAATGATATATCTCCTGTTGTCAGGAAAGCCTGATGGTCCCTCTCCCATCCAGTTGCCACCATTTTGCTGCGATGTTCGAGACGTAGCGCAAACTCACAACGTTCGTGCTCTTGCAGTTGATAAAGCTTCGGGGTCACCTCAACAGAAGATGCGCCTTTTCCGGCGGACATTTCACCTAGAAACAAGCAGTGGAATATCCGGATACGGTTATGCCAGACCTGAAGTCGCGAACCCCCTCCTTGGCTAATGCTCTGGACCTCTCTGGAGAGTTGTCATCCGTTGATGTAACGCGGACACGCAATATCTTACATATGGATACCTACATCAGTTGGGAGACCGCCGCTCTTTGATACAGTCAATTCACTCATTGGACATAGTTCGCGTTATCAAATAAACTAGATGATTTGCGTAAAGATTTACTTCCAGGCGCAGGCGTCAATTTCAGCTCTCTCGGCCTCTTGCATGATAATGTCCTTTGCTTGAGAGCTTCTAGCCTCGAAATAGCACTTGAAAGGTTCTGGTCGTGTCACGAGGCCAGTTGTGAAGCTGTCTGCAGAAGGTAGCACTTTGTTGCCGTTCTCATCGACCGGCGGCATGATGTCGAACGCCCAGAGTATTCTAAACTCAGTTAGCATACATTTCAATTCAAAACCGATCAAATTTTCATACGTCACAACGCTAATGAAGACTGACCGCCAGGCCACGTAATTGCCTGGACACTGGCGTCTTCCAAAACCAAATGGCATCGTGAAATTGATCAACTTGCGATCCGATGTGTTAAGAAAGCGATCTGGGATGAATTCTTCCGCGTTGGTAAATGTCGTTTCATCCTTTGTCATGGCACTTTGAATCGATGCTAGCACTATTGTTCGAACATATATGCTTGACGCTCACTATATGTCTGCATAGACTGTGCTCCCCTTCGGAATGAACATACCTTCATACACATTGTCGTCTATCACAGCGCGTGGGACGGCGATAGGTGCGATGCAGCGCCACCTTTGTCTCGTCATAACGCGTAGAAAAGAAGACGAGGAAGACATGCCTCATTAATTCCTTAATTACCGCCTGGACATATGGGAGTGCATCGAAATCCTTGAAGTCAGGCATTCGTCCTGATCCGATAACTGAATCTATTTCTGCTTGAGGTTTTTTCATTGCGGCTGGATAAAGTTGCATCGCCACTGTAGAGCGAGTTTCATCTTTAGTTGATACGGTCATGAACTCGTAGGGATGTTCCGCACACAGAAATACTTCAATGGTAGCCATCGTCTGCAAGTCGTATCACCAAGATACCAGGATCATACAAGTATATAGATCTTACCGTCCCTGTTCCAGCGGCCCATGGCGCAGAGAGCGCATATGCTGTTTCTACGTCTGTAAGCCCGAATTGTTCCTGTTTCTCTAAACCGTGTGTATCCACAGACGTATGAGCAGTACCAACTTGCATCTGATGTTTAAGATCGTCCAGAAGTGAGAGGTACATTTTTGTATCCACAGCACGACGTCTTTCGGGTACCCATCGAAACCATTGCAGGAATTTCTATGAATATGATGAGATGATGCGCTGATAACTTTGTTTTTGAGGTTCTTACAGGAAGATATAGGAGGACCGGCCACTGAAGATGTAGGGTAAGGGTCAGCAAACCTCTTATCGCCGCAAAAGCTCACCAAATCTACTAGGAATTTGCCAGGGACACTTAAGGCAACGTGGTTAAGTTTAGAAGTCTCATTGATAATAAGTGCTACCTCCTACCTTATCCTTGAAATGGTATGACAGATCAACGCAATAATTGAACAGAGAGGGCTTCACTTACTTGCCGAAATCTAGTATCACGAGGGCTGATTAGTACCTGCGTGTTGATTGGAACGGGTAAAACGTACAGATACCAGTTTTCACGTTATTAACGACGATTTCATGGTCTAAAATCTTGATGCGACGACCATAGGCAACGCAGCACACGATTGATATCGCAAACCTTCGTTTATAAACAATAACACACGATGGATCGTGAACAATACACACCGACGGAGACGGTCTTTGTATTGCAATGGGTCTTCATCCTGGAGAAGATATCTCAGTAGAAGAAACGACTCAATGGACTGAAGACGCTGGTAGTTCAGTGCGGCTGTATTGCTCGGACCCGACTGCATCAGCTGGAAGACCCTATCAGAGCCCGTTGAATTACGCGAGAATACCATCGGACCGTCTTCCATTTTCTGTACTGTGGTCCATCGGACATTCCACGCATCACACCAGAGTAAATCTCATGCCTGCAGGTTTCTTGTGAATATGGAATTGGGACTGAAGCAAGCGGTATAATTGACGCGACTATGCTTCGTGGTCGTCCGGAGTATATGTTTCCTCGCACCACTAACAAGTCAGTGGCGGCTTTTACTGTTCCCAGTACTAAGACGAAGATGACTGATGCGGCACACTAAGTTTGGAACCGATCCATACCGATCACTCTCTTTGTCCCAAGACGGAACGACACCACTGGTCCTATACGGCAGTCGGAGGTCGGAGGTCAGCATAATAAAGATTAAAGACACTCATTGCAACTTACCATACTGCTTATTCCACTCATAGAATGTTTTCCAAGGCTGAAACTGGGGCACTTTACAGCCGAATAGACCTCCGGAGGACCCTGGAGGTAGACTCGAGACTTTATACCGGAAGAGTACAAACAAAAGAATGAGTAAAGACCCAAGTATCAACGAGGCAAACTCGTCCACAGGCAAGAACATAAGTCTTGATATAGCTTCGTCGAACTAGATGAGGGTTTGATCTCAAACAATGGACGCACGTGTTAGCGGACATACTTAGATTACCTTTCTGAGACTCAGTGGGGACCAACAAAAACTTCTTTTAGCAAGAGATTTTAGGCCCTCAGGCCAGACAGAAGGCGTTTTAATTGTGACATCAGAGAAGCGTCCAAAAGTATCTGTACATAAAAACACGTTACAACTTATAACTTTCAGGTTTGACAAGAGTCAGAAATTACTATGAAAATACTTGCCCGATGCCTCTAATAATCATGCATGAGGCTCAAACCAGCTTCACTTCCTTCCAAAGGTGCGAAGAGGTAGTTCAAAATTCCTGCGAGCCTAATCCCGCCTTGCGCAAGCAGCTTCTCAATGATCCACTGGTCATAGATGGCACCGGCGTACTCGGGAGTATCGAGCTCCAAATATGGGCCACCAGAACCCCCTGAAACTAGCTCATCGAACATGGCAAGCTCTTCTCCAGCAGAGGCGCCATGTTTATGCCCTGTAATGAGCCGGTCAGACTTGGTACGGCTGTAAGGAGGTTTGTCGAGCGCGGCTGGCCATATGATCTCGCAGTTCAGCGAGTGAATTGGAGTAGCCCAATAGTAAGGACATAAAATGTCGTCATCAGTATCATCTGCGTTCCAATTGGAACCTCTCATCCAACTCCAGAGAGAAATGGCTTGCTGCCAAGCAGAAGAGACAAGGCCCGAGGAGGAAGACGGGATAGAGGAAGAGGAACTCTTCGATGTGGGACATGTCAACCAGCTGGAGACCTCATCCTCCCATTTCCCCAGGATACCTTCCCACATAATACGACGGATGTAAGAGTCATAAATGGTTCCTCTGAGGTTGTGTTCAATAGTTCGCGAGGGAAGGGGTCTCGTATAGTTGTGGGGAATCGTGCGTAACGATTTAGAGATGAGGAGAGTGTCCCAAAGCGAATGAAGGTCTGAACGACAATGTCAGTTGCATATATACGTCAGAATTCAAAGCCAACTCACTGGTCTGACGGCCATCGAATGTAACTTTGACCGAGTTACCGCCACGGTCTCTACCCGTCAAATGTAAAGGCATGTGCATGTCACCAACGAAGTGCACCAAGAACTTGAGCGCCTCGTTAGCAAGATCATCATCTCCACCAAATCCATCCTTTTCGTTCTGGACCCATTCTTCCACCAAGTCTGTGGTGTTCCTGACACCTCCAAGTACGTTTATGTCCTTCTTACCGGCCCAACCCCGGTCACCCGGAAAGACGCAAGAGTCAGAAGGATGATCCCCAAGAGCACCGATATAATGCAAGGAGGCGGACCAGCGTTTCTGAAAGCGAATCCGGTCAGCCCAACCAGCAATGGGAGCGAGATGGCATTCGGGCTCGTTAGGGTTGGTTGACGTAAAATTAAGTATGCGACAGATACTGGGAAGGACGGCTGGATGGAGATGGATTTGGGCGATAGTCGCTACAATTTCATGGCCTAAAAAGCCCAGTTAGAAATGGATCAAAGCCGTATATCACCGCAGCCCTTACCTACAACACCCCATCCTACAACACCGGGAACGCTAGCCGTGCTGGCAGCGAGCAGGGACAACCAAGCAGAAGTCTTCATGGACGGAAAGCGAACTCTCATAGTGGGCTACAAAAGATTGGCTACGTGGAGATGGTGGTGGTAAGAGAACAACAACGTCTGCTGGATGACGGTAACCTACTTATAAGAGACAAAAGACGCGTGACAGTGTGACATCATAAATGTGCGCGTCCTGTCACGTGATCAGGACGACCTGCCTGGAGCGCTAAATGCTACGTTTCCAGGAGTTTGGGGCCCAGTAGCCACTTTCTGGTTTTTTGGCACTATACCTTTCCCCCCCCGGCATTCGGTCACAATGGCGAAGGGCTAGCAGCCATTTTCTTCCCGTTTTGAATGATTTTCATCAAAAATGCATCATCCACGAGCAGGTTTGGTCTTCGGCAAGGTTTTCGACTCCGCATATCTGGAACCTAAGCTCTCCGACATCCCAGACCATCCACAGTGGCCCAAAATTGTCAAATTTCCGGGTAAAACGCATCATATTACATGGATGTCAAAATATCCCGAAAATTCGGGAATGAGATCACCAAAAGAAAATCAAGGATCCGGGATTATCCGGGGTCCTACGTGATCTAAGCGTACCTCAAAACCTTGCTAGGTGCACTCAACGTCACAACATCTTAATGTTCAAGTTTGATTTCGACATCGACGACCCCGCAGACGACCTCGAAATATCGGTCTCTGATCCTGCAAGCCAAGCGGCTGTGAATGATACAGCAATCAATCAAGATCCTTTCACCGAAGTATCGCTGCAGCATCTCGTTCGTAATGATATATTGCTTCAGATAAAAGGCCACTAATATCGGATCTGTGAAAAGCATAGGTAGATTGTCTGCCTTCGCTTATTTCGTGCTCGCCGCTTTCAATACCACTGTCTTCTGGCGGTGAAGTGACGCTCGCTCGGAGGGATTTATTTGATGCACGATTCCAGCTTATAAACGACGAAGTGAACGACGAGCAGAAGGATAACTCACCGGAATTAGGCTTTCTCAATGCACCTTCTGATCTCGTTCAAGGCGTATACGAAGGGGGTCTGAAGACATGGGAATGCAGTCTTGATATCGTTGATTATCTGCATGCAGAGAACCCAGTATTTGAAGGACGGCGGGTGTTCGAGGTACGTTCCACCACTCCTGGCAGGCAACTACTTCGCGCCTAAAGTGCAAAGAAAATGATTGGATATGGATGTCATTTTGACCGAGGCTTTCAACCACAGCAAAATGTGTCGGATTTACCATTAAAGGGAAGACTGACTCATTTTGCTACGGTCGAAAGCATTAACCAGAATTTGATCTCTTATCCACCCGTTTTTCCCGGTTCAAATCAGGAAAGGTGGTTTTACTCTGGGCACTATACGGCACTATATGGCGTTATATTGGGGGGTTCCTCCTATATAGGACTATATAGCCTCATAGCGAGGATACATTTTTCTGATCTTGAAATAGTCGCTTACCAGGAATACTATGTTCCTTCCCAAAATGCTGACTGACTATTGTCCTAGGCCGGTTGTGGGACAGCCGTCCCGTCTGTGTACATCCTGCAGAACCTATTTTCTGGTCTGCCCCACGGGAAGGAAACACACCTCCATTTGCAGGACTATAACGCCATAGTCTTTGAGCTCCTTACGCTTCCCAATCTCATCCTTGCTTGGTGTATGCTCTACTTTATATTTTATCCATGTTCTATCTCATTCGTAAACTAGACATGTCTCCAGCCTCCAAAGCCTACCGCGATGCAGCGGCACACCCTTCTCCCGATGAGACTCCGTTGCCACCCGCCGACGCTTCCATTCGTGCAGAGATACCGATAACGCTAGAATTAAAGACGGCATTCCTATCATCACTGGAAGCATATGGGATACGGCTACGATTCTTCTCTGGATCGTGGAGTTCCTTTGACCTCCATCAAAGCGGTGGAACGTACGATATCGTCCTCACATCAGAAACTATCTATCGTACGGACAGTGTGGGGTCTTTGATTGATTTGTTGCAATCAGTATCACCCACGGTGGACAGCTTGACGTCCCGACTGTCTATCTCTGACGGAGAGAATAGCTCTCAGTCATACTTGTGTCTGGTTGCAGCTAAAATTTTCTATTTCGGGGTAGGTGGAGGCGTCACAAATTTTGTAGAAGCCGTGGAAGAGAAGGAAGGAAGAGTTGAGACGGTTTGGGAACAGAAAGTGGGCGTTGGACGGAGAATTATGAGAATTCAGTGGTCGTAAGGTGGATGGCAGTCTGTACCCGTACATTTTCAGGCTTTATCCGGTGATACTGCGTGGATTTTGGGTGATGAGCAAATCTGATTACTGAACTTGAAACTGAATGTTCGAAAGCTTGGCAAGATGTGGTTTTGCATAGATGGTAGGATGCGTGGAATGTCACGGACGTCACCATTAACGGCATTCGACTGCCTTCACCCAGCTTGCTTTCTTACTCCCACCATCCTGCTTACGACACTTAATGCGCACTGTCTGGCGACATTAACGACGGTTTTCATGCTGAAGAGGGCCTCAAGGTGCGTATATGCGTACGCTCGCGATACCTAGCAGCTCACAGACACCTCAAGATATTCCTCGAGAATTTGCGACCAGTTCTAGGCCCCTTCATTCTTGAAATTTAAAATGCCTAGAGATCTCGAGGACCTGACTTTCCCACATTCAGCAACGTTGCCAGCGGTTGCGCGAACATGGGCGAGTCATCAGCAATTCGTGGGTTCACCGGACCAGATAGGCCAGAGCGAGGCGCAACCTTCTTCAAGCACGGCTACGCGTCCAGTTCCGATCATACCACAGTCAATGGCACGTCCCACCATGACTCGAAGTATTTCGTCGTCGCACACTACACGCCCACGAGCCAATACCTCGTCCCGTGCAGCGTCTGGTTTTCTGTTCCATACTCAACGAGAGCCCCAATGGTCTGTTTTTGGACAATTGATGGAGAATGAAGGTCAGCTAGGGACTCCAAGCGGCAGCCATCGCACAAGCAGGAAGAGCAATACCCCTCGCTCCTACATCAGTCGAGACACCAGTCCTTCGTCACGGCAGAGTTTCATAGATTCCAACAATCCTGTCGAAGTTCAGTCTCCTGTTGCGGAAGAGGATTACCCCAATTTCCCTGCCACTCATCATAGCGACTCTGATGATGATTCGGGTTCAGACGAATACGACTCCGACGAAGAGGATTCCACATCCACAATCACCACGAATCGTCTTTCCTCATCTGATACACCCGTACCAACTCGAAAATGGTACACAATACCCACTATACCATTACTATACCGTAATATCTTTAAATGTGCATTGGCATACGTCCTTGCCTCCCTTTTCACCTATTCACCCCATCTCTCTGGCCTGATAAGTGATCTTGTAACGTACGGTTCGAATGAGCGCCGACCTCTTCCCAGTGGACATATGGTTGCGACAGTGTGAGTGTATCTCTTTGTTTTAGGCTCTGTTTGCTGATCTTCTATGTAGCGCCGTCTATTTCAACCCCGCAAAGACCACGGGCAGTATGATCGAAGCGGATATATTCTGTATCTTTGGCTTGTTTTACGCAGCATTCGTCTCCCTGACTAGTATGTCCCTGTTCTGGTGGCTTGAGCTCAAACCTGGCTGGGAATGGCTTGCTGATACATTCGTTATCCTTTGGATCGGTGTCAGTATGAGTATCTTGGCTTGGCTGAAAGTCTGGATGGTATGCCGTTCAGTCTCATGTCTACAGTACCTAACTGACCATATGAGTATTAGGCTAATCCCCAATTCAACACGGGTGAGCATGTGACTTGCAGTCCTACGAGGATTGAGTCTCACTGAAATCTAGCCTGCAGCATGATTGTCATCCTCCTTTTCATCGTGTACGTGTGATACCAAGATTTTATCGCTCGACTGACGAGAATATGCAGGCTTATCAAAGAGGGTGGCTTGCAGACACTTCTTCAAGTGTCCTTCATCGTTTTTTGTGGTATCGTAATCTCCAATCTCGTTTGCTTCTTCATCTGGCCTCAGTCTGCTACCACTAATCTGCAAACGAACATGACGAAAACCCTTGACTCCTTCTCCACCCTTCTGGATATGCTGACAAACACATTCTTACTAGAAGAATCACCCCACCATCCCAGTCAAGAGAAGATCCAGCGCGCCGTCGAAAATCACCAAAACAGTTTTACGAGCCTCAAGAAGAATCTCAAAGAAGCCAAAAGTGAATGGCAGTTTTCGGGGCAAGTCAAGCTTCCCGCTTCTGGAACAGGAAATGGTCGTGCACTTCCGGTATCAACGAAGGGTGATCAGAGGAGGAAGGCATACGAAGATGCCGTTGATTGTCTCAATCGCCTCGCTCAGCACCTCAATGGTTTGAGGAGCGGGACACGGCTGCAATACGATCTAATCAAGGCTGGTGTTGTCAAGCGAAGAAGACACCATAGCAGGCGGAACGGGAACGGCAAGAATCAAATATTGGATGGTGATAGTGCCGAAGACGACGAGGAGACTGCGATGCTGAAAGCTGCGGCAGTGATGTTTGGCGATCTCGTGGATGATTTGGGACCGCCACTGAAAGCACTATCGGTAAGTCAGCTTTAATCAAGTTTCGTTCGCCAGCTGAGTTATCATGCCTAGTCGACGTGTACATCATCACTGAAGCGTTTGCGGGAGTCAGTAGTCAAGTCCCGTGTACGTGAAAATGCGGCGACTGATGCGATTCAGCCGCATGAATTCTTGGAGTTGATTGACGGGATCGAAAGGGCTTTGATGCGCTTCGAGAGCACGTCGAACCATGCCGTCATGCGGCTATATAGGAAGAGTGACTTATCTCATGCCAATGCGGAAGACACGGGAGGTTTGAGCGCAAGTAGAGCCAGTATCATTTCCGGGACAGGGGACAAGGAGAACCTCATGCTTACTGCGTCAGATAACGAGCACATCTTTTTGGTGTACTTGTGAGCATCCGGCGTCTTCTGATGGTTTGCTTTACTTCTGTTGACGCGCGTTACAGCTTTATCTTCACCTTGCAGGAGTTTTCTACGGAGCTGATTTCTCTCGTCGATGCCGTGGAAAGGATCTACGCTCTGGAGCAGCAGCACGTGAACTGGAGAGGGTACTGGCACTTGGCATATATTTCAGTCAAGACACGATTAGCAACATTGGTTACGTGGTCTAAGTCAGAGAGCGTTCATGGCGGAAGGAAGAGGAGGTCTACCCTGAAACGAAGGATATGTAGGACACCTCCTATCTCTTTTGATGGCCATTCTGACGATTATTATAAGCTTCGTACATCACTGGCGCCGGGGAGACGCGCAGACGACCCTCTTTCCCTAAAGTACAACCTCATGCGCCCAACACGGTTCTTACGCCCGCTCGAAGTAACTTGAATTTCATCGGCCGGATGAAGCAGGGACTGTGGGCTATTGGGACGCGAATGACAGAAAGAGACGCCAAGTTCGCTGTTAAGACGGGTATGGCAACTGCTTTGCTCTCTGCACCTGCCTTTTTCGACGCAACCCGGCCTATCTTTCTTGAGTATTATGGTGATTGGGCGCTTATTTCGGTAGGCTGTTTCCCCTTGCCGTTGCTTCGGTGCGGGCCTAACCTGCACATAGTTCTTTATTGTCATTTCGCCTACCATTGGTGCGGTGAGTATCCCCTCTCATGCTGCTTTATCCCAACTGACATTCATACGTGTGCGTTATAGACCAACCTCCTCAGTTTTAATCGTGTACTGTGGACTTTGTGAGTGCATGCCCTTTTCATGTGCTTCGTTGTCCCATGCTATTTACAGGGTCGGAGCGGCTGTCGCGGCAGTGACATACTCACTATTCCCAGAAGATGCAGTTGCTCTCGTGATATTCGGCGCGTTCTACTCACTTCCGTGCTTCTACGTCATCGTTTCGAGACCAGTACATCTCTCTGCTTCTCGCTTTGCGCTGCTCACGTATAATCTGACTTGTTTGTATTGGTGAGTAGTGCAATATTTGTTTGTCCTGTATTGCTAAATTGTAGTGTAGCTACAATATACGGCAAAGAGATGTATCGGTAGTCTCCGTCGCGTGGCATCGTGCTCTGGCTGTCATCGCAGGGGTGCTCTACGCTGCTTTCGTTGCACGATTTTGGTGGCCGTCTGAGGCTAGGCGTGAGCTCAGCAAGGCGTTAGGAGAGTATGTCTCGAAGACAACATATCGGAAAAGGACGCCGCTGATGTTTGAGGTAGATTCTGTTTGAACATTGGATGGCTGTACACTAGACTCGTCGCGGCAAATTCGTTTGCCCCGGAATATCGCGAAGATTCTGATGACGACGACTCACATGCAGCCTCCTCTGAGGATGTTGCGCTGCTTGGATCTGATCGTACGTCTGGTCGTACGACGCTGAACAATTCTATTCGGGAGTTTATGGCTATGTGAGTGTGTTGTCACTGTTGATGAATCTCTTCTCAAGAGCCTTCAGGGAACTCCATTTGCAGATCAAGTTGATAGAGCTGCAAGGACTCTTAGCCCAGACACAGCATGAACCTCGATTGAAGGGACCTTTCCCCGTAAAGCTGTACCGTGGGATATTGACCAGCCTACAAACGATCATGGACCGATTGCATAGTATGCGTTGTGTTACAACTCGTGAGGAATGGTACACGGCAAGTGGAAAAAACGCAAAATACTAGCAGCGAGTATTGACGCTTCTGTTCTCACAGAGTGTTCGTCAAGATTTCATAGTCCCGGTCAACAAGGAGCGACGTGAAATGGTCGGAAACATCATCCTGTACTTTTCAACGTTAGCTTCAGCGTTCCGACTAAAAGCTCCTTTGCCTCCGTATCTTCCTCCTGCAGAGAAGTCTCGAGAACAATTGGTGCGCTGTCCTCCTGTTTTATACGGCAATTTTTGACGTTCCTTGAAACAGGTGGATGCTATCAGGAGACTTGAGGTTGTTCGAAATCGCGATGTCAAAGGTTCAAGGCAGCTGCTTTTCTTTGCATATGCTTTGACGATGAAAGGGGTTACTCAAGAACTGGAGTCGTTGGGGCGTACTCTCCAGGATGCGTTTGGAGTCATAGGACAGACACCAGAGGAATTTGAAACTCTTTTCATGGATGAGGAGGGGAGTCGCAGAATTAGCTATGCTGCCTAGGATACTTATTGATGGTTAATGGTCACTGACTTGAGCGGAGGTGCTCAACAGGGACTTTTTCTTTCTTTTAACGTATGTTATAGCATTTTACAATGTACGGTTCGCGCTAGGTAGCAGTAGGCGTGTCGTCGAATTATCTGTCGTATGGACAAGACCACGTGATCAGATTTTCTGGTGGATTGGAGGCTGCTGGACCAACGTCGACCTGTCTTCCCACCATTTCGTGCATATTTCCTCTCCAAGGTATTTCTGCGCTTGACCTGGAAATTTCCTGAAAGTCAACAAGTTGAGAACAATTTTGCAACTGTGTACGCCGCTGCGACGCTGCCTTGTCTTGGAGATCAAATCTTACTACGCTATGGAAAAAAACCAGAAGGATCAGGAACGGGAAATAAATTGTCTGTTGGAGTAGCACGGTCACAAAATTTGTCGCTAACTGCCTCGTAGTGTTACTCCGACGGGCCAAGGAGAGTACTGAGAAGGGTTCTCCGGTGAGTTGCCTCGTAGTTACCTCAGACTTGAGCTGATGGTATGATAGCCCAGGAAGGCTGCTCTTCAGAAGCTTATCGACATGTCCCATTCCTCCAGCGCTTACTTCAAGATTCTTGCCGCCCAGAACATCAAATTTTTCTTCGCCGACTTTCCTGAGCTCGAAGAGGATGCCATCAATGCGGTGTACGATATCTGTGAAGATCAGTCTAGCAAGGTACGTCTCAGTACAATTTTAAGCATTGACGCGTTCATATGAGAGGTCAGGTTAGAAAGGAAGGGTACCTCGCAATTACGGGACTCTCAGCGGCTGATAACGACTGGGTGAAACGAAATACGGACGTGTTGTTGCAGTTGCTTCAAAGTGGTAGCTATTGCTTCTTTTTCCAAAGTCTGCGTTGCTTTATCTCACGATTTCCAGAGGAGCCGGAAGAAGTTGCTGTAATCAAGACCGCTTTAAGGGAACACCTAGTCATGGCGCCTTCCGTTACCCTTGGCGTATTATTTGACCAAATCGTTCCCGCTGACGACAGTATGGACGAAGAGGAAATGGCCATACGGGAACGGTTACGTGGGCTTGTGCTCGCGTTTATGACGAACGAAGCCAAGGAAACTATCAATCAAAATCCCAAGCTCAATAATCAATTCGCGGATGGACTTACGCTTGTATGTTGTCATTGTCATCTTCCCTCTTCCGTTACCCATTTCACCAGGCTATACCGCGATTGGCTGATAACGAAGCGGCATCATTTATTCGAGAACACATACTCCCTTTGTCTATGTTTAGCTCGCGCTCTCGTCAGGGGAATCTCCTCCTACAAGCCGTGATACGGAAACTTGAGGCATCGGACTTCAAGCGCTCCCCCCTGTCCACAACGACAAGATCCTATCTCAGTTTGGCCCATCATCTTGCTGTCGACAAGATTGCTTCTCCTCTGGACCTTCTCAGATTTTACTATGGCTCCCTGACTTCAAAAATAACACTGATGAGATTATCCCAAGATGATCAGACACTAGTACTCTGTCAATTGGCCGAAATTCTGGCAGCGTGCGAAGAAGATCTCAAAAACTCCCGACCACGGGAACGAGAACAGCTACAAAAGCAGGTTTATGCCATCGTTGATGTTTCCCCCATCTTTTTCGAGGTCATATCTTTGCTTAAATGGGTGTCTTTTTTCTCACTTGTTCTTTTCATAGCGTTTAAGCGGTTCCATCGACTCAAATGAGCGATCGAGGAAGGCCTGCGAGCTGCTGTTGAATTCATGTATACAAGTAAGTACCTTTGATGCATCTTTTCCTTCTCTGAATGTACTTGGCAGCGTAAAGCGCAGCAAGAATGGGCTGTGCCCACATCAATTAGTTCAGCTGTTCAAGCCTTGTCGGCCAAGACCTCAAATCAGGCACTTCAATTACTTATTAGGGTTCGCAGTGGGCCACTTTTCATTGCTGTCGCTTGTGTCCGACATCCCCTCTTCTGTTTCATCAGTCTCTAGCATCCACAGTGGTCCCGACCTCCACCGCCACTACCGGTCCATCCAATGTTACAAATATATCGGCGGCAACGAGGCCAGCCGCCCGGGCATCAGTAGATGTATCACGCAAAATGAGGATATCCAGTCGAGATGCCGACCATATAATGAACGACGCATCCCCCCCAGCCAATCCAAGCAAACGCAATTCCCCCCGTGAGGAGCCGTCAAGGTACCAAAAAAGGTTTAAGACGGGGAATGGACCCGGATTATCACTACTGAACCGTTTAGCTGATTCTGCATCGCACTTGCCTGGGGAACCAATTGAACGGAAACCAAGTGCTGGCCGCACTCCGCAGCAGCGACCACCAGATAACAGCATGGATGTTGATGGTCCTCCCGAAGGTGGCTACAGTATTAAAGGTGCCGCCAAGATGGAATCGGCGAGCTCTGTGGGGACGGATCGACAGCAACCACGACGTCCGCCCTCACTCATCGATCGTTTAGAGTCAGAAAGAAACAACGTATCTGGGATGGGAGATACATTCGGGAGTCGCGGCAAGCAGAAGCGTTGGTAAAGCATATGACTCTCACTGCCTTTCTATGGCGCCGAGTAGATTGATACTAGTAGCATGTTTTTGTATGCCTGTGTGGGAAGGGAACTGCTGCGGATCAGTATTTGGTGAAACGGTGGGATAGGCGACATTCGCCTCTTCATCCGTTTCGGTGATGATATCTACCAACACGACAGCAGAAGGAGATAATTTGTAGTAAGGTCGTTCGATCATGAATGTATATAAACCGATCTGACCGATGACAGCACGTCAGTCAATCTGATGCGCCGTATATAATGTGGCACATAATGTGGGTCCGTACTCATGCATTTCCCTCCTATTGCTCTCCTGCTCACCTTAGTTGGTGCAGCAGTTGCTATACCTCAAAATGTGCCTTTTTCTTTACTTCGATCGCGCTCGTCGCTGAGATGCTTGTCAGAAACTTGAGGCTAGACAGTCGTCTGTAACCGGAGACTCACAATGCGGTACTGTAAGTGTCTTTTTGTCTAGAGGCTCTCCGCTTCTCCTAAGTATGACCTTTCAGGCCATGTGTGTCGAAGCCACGGTGAACGGAACCTCCATACAATGTTGGATCTTTCTTTTCATCATTGTTACGTGAGAATAATTGTTGTTCCACAGATGTTCTATCCAGTACGGAAACCGTTGGATGGATGGGAATGTAAGTCTCCTGTGTGTTGAGTTTGTAGCCATCTCATCGACATCGTTATTATCAGGGGGTTTGGTACGCAAATGTCAGGCTCCCCAATGGTCATCATGTGGTCCAACACCGATGGAACCATAACGGTGTCCCAACGGGAGGCTAGCGGTCATACAATGCCCCAGGTAGTTAGTAATCCCGCCCAGGTCGCAACCTTGGCGGAGAGCGCCAGCACTGTAAGCGCCGTCCACAGACCCTGTTCGCTGTTAAGTAAATCACGTTCTTCCAGACTTCGGGGTCAGAAACCAAATTCGCCTTTACCGTCGATGTTGGTCGTGTTCCTCCTCAATCTTTGCCGAACCCGCTTATCTATTTCTTCCTCTTCTAGGCGAATGGTGACACGACTCAAAATGTCATCTACGCTATCGGAAGTACCAATCCTGGATCTTCTAGTGCGAGCGCTACTATTCAGCAACATTTTGACGATGGTACCTTTCAATTAAACTTGGCGGGAACTTTGTCTGCGACGTCTACTGGTTCTGCATCATCCTCGGGAAGCACATCTGGGACTAGTAGTTCGGGAACCCGGCCAATTAGTATCCCATTGCTGCCGTACCAGCGCATGATTGTAGCCCACGCCATCCTCTGTGTCGTCGGTTTCTTGTTTTTCCTTCCCTTCGGATCATTACTTGCGCGGTATGTTAGAACATTTACGCCGAAGTGGTACACCGGACATTGGATATCCCAGTTTGCAATCTGTAAGTTGAATCATAATTGCCTTCTACCTCTCTTCTAAGATCTTCCACTTTAGCTGGTTCTCTAATCATTATTGGATTTGCCCTTGGGGTACAGAGCGTGACTTCTGCCGGTGCACTTCACTTAGATGATAATCACAAGGTATGCCTCGTTGTCGATGATCCGTTTCAATGTTTTGACATACAATCTTCATAGCAATGGGGCGTGGCCATATTTGTGATATACTGGGTCCAATGCGCTTTAGGCGCGTTCATTCATTGGGTTAAGCCCAAGAGGCCCGCTGGTCGGCCACTGCAAAATTACTTCCACGCTGTCTTTGGGCTGTTCATCATTGCCTTGGCGTTCTATCAAGTTCGGACGGGATATAAAACTGAATGGCCAAGTGCCACCGGACGCGGTGATATAGCTAAAGGTGCTGACATTGTTTGGTACATCTGGGTGGTGGTATGTTCCTTGTGATTCATTTATCAGTATGATTCATATCTGCCGTTCCAAATCAGGTGGTACCTTTGTTGTACTTTGCCGGGCTAGCGTTCCTTCCAAAACAATATAGACAAGAAGCAGCAGCAAAAGGTAGGGAAAATCGTTTACTTGAATATGAATTCGATATGTCAGATGTGCAACATCGATACCGTAACTGATGCTATGATACCTGTTTTTCTTTCCTACTTACCCGTCGGTTTTTCTTACGTGTTTTTTCTTAGGCAGGTACAAATGATCACAGATCTTCGGCTTCCCGCTTCCACGCATTCAAGCCGCGATAGCGGTTTCTTTGTATTTTCCTAGCGTATTATTTGGAATTTTTATATATGTTGTGTTTATCAGTAGATTCCCCTGTCCCGATCGAAGGTTACTATGTACAAGACGAACTATGTGTACCAGTCAGAACTAGTACAGTATGTACAGTTGGTAGAGTCTCGGATGGCCGCGGTGGGAGCACCATCAACGTTTCCGACTTTCTATCGTATTTTACAATTCTAATACGATGATCGCGCTGGTGCAGAAATGAGCTGAAGACGATGTAAATCAGTGCACGATATCATACGCTACAACCCCAAAATCCAGGTATTTCCGTGCCGGGAATTGCGTGAACACCGGTGAATTACCTGTACAGGGAATACCACATACCTCAAACTACATGGAAATGCATTATGAATAACAAGATATCCGTAAGCGCAGGTCAACAGAAAAAGGCACACAAGAGTGAAAAGGGACCCGATCACGTGAGATGTTCGGTTACAGGTCCGAATCGTAAAGTTGAACTTGCTCCATTGCCACTGAACGGCACGACGACCGTCGTCTTCCTCTTTCAACGACGCCCCACCACGAAGGATTATACCACTGACTGTGATATGTCTTCCCTGAATTTCAATGTCTCGCGCGCTGCAGAATGGCCCACTGAAATACAGCATTTGGCGTGCTTACTTGACTCTCCAATCCCATCACGACTTGCCAATGGCCCATACCCACCTGTCTCTTCTCGAGCGTCTCCGTTACTCGAGGAACTCGAAAGTATCCTAGAATGTTCACCAGAACATCTCACAGATTCCTCCTCGGAAGTACTAGATATTTTGGATCTACTGCTTTCGACTGTTGGCGCGCTCAAAGTTCTCGCCGGCGGTTCGAAGGATGATTCTAGACAGTCAACGATACCATTCTGGTCCCTTCTTATACGTTCGCTTTCATTTATGTGCTATGATAAATCATATATAATGTGGGTGCGTTTGAATGGAATCAATTGATCTATTTCCTAACGAAATACTTTGGCAGGCAAGATGCTACATTCGTTCGACCACGATTATCACATTCCTCGAATAGGACGGTGGATGGACATGCTTCATTGCTAATATCTCATATCGTTGAAGATATTCAACGGCCGAGGCCAATTGTAGACGATGAAGCTTCGGGGCACGTTTCTATCATGAAAGCGGAACGCTCAAACGAACCATCGCAGGAAGAATACGACTCTGAAACTTCCTATGATGACGAATCATCCTCCGATAGTGACACCAGCTATGAACGCACGGAGGCTTCAACGGATCCGACGTCTGCCCAGTCATCTTACGTTCCCCTTGATGCCCACATCCTCGCCTACTGGCGACACCCGAACTCTGTTGTTCTCCCGTACCTTTGTGTCACGGATGAAGACGACATTTTCAGCCTAATGAGCGGTGTTGTTTATCAGCGTTCTACTTGGGGAATTGCTGGGCCTGTTATTGGAATTATTCTGTCGAAAACAGGGTTCATAGGCCGGGTGGTCTTCGGTTGGCTTGACAATGTATGCGTGGACCCTGATCTAGTGTGTCAGCTTCTCCTGACTCATTAGCGCCACTGAATAAATTTGAATAGCCCGCAATTCATTTTGCGCATGCAGATGGGACGTGTATAGACCCTTCATTAGGAGTGTACGACCTCACTGATGCTGTTAGTGTTCTCAAATTTGCACAATTCATCATCGGCCTCCGGGCGCATGTCGAGGGAATCGTTGCCCAATGCGGAGCTCCGACGTTCAAACGACTTCCGTGGAGATCAGATACTATCGATGATGACGATTCCGGTTCCGAAGAAGAACAATGGGAACAAAGGATTGTTTGTTGGCGAAATACGGTGGAAAGATGGTGGGAGTCACTTCATTTGGCCTTAACGTTGTCCCTCATCTATTTAAACAGTGACGCCGACCACACAGCACCTTCCGATCCTTCATCAACTCACTGCTGTTCATACAACATGGTTGACTCCAAAAAGCCTATTACGCGGGCCTCGTCGAAGGCTACGTCTGGCCGTCCGAGGCGCTCGATGTCTGCAGACAGCAAACGCGAACCTCCTCCAGCGGAGCCTACACCATTTTTACCCGATATCGATGTCACATATCCTCGCGAGCCTTCCCTAGGAGCTACGGGTTTGAAGACCTCGTCAGATAAAGCGTCAGCTCAGCCTGAAGAACGTGGACGACAACAGTGAATCTAGACTGCTCATGCTTCATTCGATTTCCTCTAACTCTTTTTCAGAACAACGTCGGATGGTGATTCTTCTAATAATGGAAAGACTGGTAAGCGTTCGAAGAGCGCAGATGCCTTGTCTTGTTCAGCGTAGGCCTTCTATTTTGGTTGCTTTAAACTACCCGTTCTGATATCCCGTTCCCACCAGGTTAGGTGCGAAGTCCTTGGCTGGCATATCCCCTTCTGCAAAGCTTTCTTTCTCAAGCTATGCACACGACCGCAAAATCATCAGTTTGACCAATGTACACCTGAACACAGATTCTAACCTCGGTCTTACTGTTTCGAAGGACGTTGACGCTTCGGAAATCAATGAGATGCTCGGATTTTATGACAAAATGACCCAGTATATGAAGCCACCTATCGCTGAGGTAAGTGTATTTCGTGGCTACCTATACTTCGTATCACTTAACCATAGTAGCATGGACTGCCTGTCGTTGACAAACGGGTTCAGAGTGTGCGGGAACATTTCCTCTTACAAGCAAGGAAATGTCCTGACGGCGAAAACACTTTGGAACTTCCTCAAAAATTCTGGGAAATCATCTCCGGTTGCTTTTCGTCTATCTTGTGGGCATCTGTTGGCGGATACTCAAAAGAGAAGGGCGGTAAATCTCACAATGAAGCTGAGGCCCGCCATGAGTGGGACATCCTTCTTAATCTTGGCTTTGTGGACTCCCATGAGTTGGCCTCCGGAAGAGTGGTGTAAGTCCTTTGCAACGATTGAATGTTTTGTGTTTACTCTCTTCTCAGATTTGAAAGGGCGCTTTCTCTGTCTCGGAATGTTGCCTCGGATCTGGCGAAATCGTCTGCCCCGTTCAATGGCAAAGAATTTAAGGATCTCGCCAAAGAATTGGAACACATCATGGCATATGCTTTTCAAATGGTGCTTCCTCGCAGCAGCTCCGATCCAACCTTATTCCTTCAGACTAACGAAGTTCTTATTGCTGCTTTCAATCATAGACGCGCCGTCTCAGCTCTCTTTGCGAATCCAGCAGCAGCAGGGAGCGCCATTTTAAAGCGTGCTGGAGATGAACCTGAGCTGGGCATTGTCGATGCGATCCTGACAATGCCGCTCGACCACGTTCGGAAAATCCCGGAGCCCCTTGTTCGTGTTGCAGAAACCCGCGAAACTGTCAACGCTGCTCGGGCCCTCAATCCAGATAACATCGTTGAGCCCAGCGATGACCATGTCTCTGAAGAACCGTCTTCGAATGCAAAGCGTCACGCTAAAAAATCCAGCTCTCGACCTGCTTCAACCCGAACGAGGTCGATGTCCACTCGAATGGTTGCAATCGAGGAAGAGACGGAAGCCGCCCCTCAAACACAACTCAGTGATGAGGCGAAGAAGGCCGATGCGAAAGTCAATGCTCCGGTAATCAAGGCGGAAGGCTTGATGCACCCATTTGCGGTGACGTGCTCCGTGACCAAATCAGCACCCAAGATGGTATTCCCACCTGGGGTGGTGATGGATGTCAAGGAGCTGCTCACTAAGCTTCTCTTGGCCGTTTTAGTTGCCGAATACAAGAAGCCTACGCAGACTTACGCGAAGGCCGTCGTGCAAGCAAAAATGTACGCAGAAGCGTCTGTCAGGTATCTTGCAAGTCTGGGAGTGACCAAACAAGCTGTTTTCGCATTGGCGACAGATGGCGTTGAAGGAGCTGTACTTATGGCTTGGTGCTCGAGCGACTCCGAAGTAAGTTCTTTTATTTTGCTACAGTGCTGATGTTTAATTTATCTCATCTTAGACCGTCTACATCGTTGAGCGCAATGTTCAAACATTCAACATTTCCTCACCCATCGAGGTTTACCATTTTGTCACGGTCCTTCTGCGTCTACGAGAATATGGGGATACGGCGCTGAAGGATGCAGTCTTGAAAGCATTAGAAGCGGATGAATTCCGACAAAAGAGCTGGAGTAAAACGGCACAGTTTAATAGGATGGAATGAGATTGCATTGACTGGTATTTACGAAAAGCATTCTTTGCTTTGATTGGTTGTATCCACATGCTTTCTACTTGCTATCGCTAATTTATCTGCTATATACTGTGTAATTATGATATAAACTTCCACACTTCGCCAAGTACTCCCTAGTTGCAATGCTTTTCCGCTGAACGCCCGCCTTGTAGGAAAGTACACGCTGTTTTCAGCTCAAATGATGGCGACGGTGCTGCATCCCGACTCGCAGCTCAGCAATAGGCATGAATATTCTGCATTCCTGCATTATCAAAGTTGACCATTTGACTCTCAACAGCTGGGCAAGAATGAAAACGTTGGGTAAGGTCGTGCAGACCCTGGCGCCTTCGACTGCCGGCCCCTCTGTCTGCAATCAATGGTACAGCCGCATGAGAAGCAGCGGAAACGTGGTCAGCTATACATTTCCCCTTAACTTCCGGTCCGATCCACGGCCACCTCCGGACCTGATTCTCTTTTTAAGTTTCACCAATGTCGGTTGTGGACATCCTCTAGAACCTCCCATTCGGCGGTATTGCTTGAAGTGCGCAAACGCCTTTCTGTGACCCTCGCAATTTTGGAGTCTGGACTTCGGAAAATCTAAACAATGTGTGCGCAAAACTGCGACTCGGAAAATACTTGGCGAACCGTAGACGAGGATTAGTTGCATGGCATCGTGATAATAACCACCGTGCGTTTTACGTTGGTATATGAATCATGAACAGAACTCGTATGTTTTTTAACAATTAATGTCAGTGGTCTGATCAAGTTTTTATTCCAGTCGTCTGCCAACTTACGACAACGTTGAACGTTGAACGTTGAGCGATCGACCAGAGTGCTAAGCAATTATCGTGTACTTTGTGTTCAAATGTTTTTGAAACAGGAATAGGAAGAAAGGTTACGATGGATAGGCAGGTAAGCATAGTTCGGATGTATATTGATGAGGGTGCTCATGTCAATACGCCGGGTACATACACTAACACCATGCCATTTTTTAAAAATTTCAAGTAGATCCATGGTGCTAGTATGGAAAATGCAATAGGCGTAGTCGGAGTAGACGATCACAAAAGGGATTGTGCCTTTGACTATAATCGCTGCCAAAATAATAAGGCAAAAAATCATACCGGGATTTGACGATTACAGAGCCCATATATAATCGTAGCCATAATCGTCCGTGATTGCCTACTTTGACTGCCACTGTCATCATGTCTCTGGCGGGAAAAGTTTGTAGTTGTCTCTAATCGAACGTCTCGATGACTGACCTTTCACCAGGTCGCCATCGTTACCAGTTCTTCCAGCGGAATTGGGCTCGCCACCACCCAAGTGCTTCTCGGAGATGGATGCTTAGTTCTCGGTGTTGATCTGCATCCCAATGATGTTTACATGGATTTACCAACGTTCTCTTTCTACGAAGGCAATATTGCTGACCCTCTTACCCTCCCGCCGCCATTATCGCGGCCAGCAAAGAGGCACTCCCTGAATCCGGTGGGGTGGATATACTCGTGAATGACGCCGGGATCATGGATAATAATGGCGGCGTAGACGCGCTTAAGGACGGGGTGTAGGAGCGGGTCATTACAGTGAGCTTGACCGGTCTGGTTAGGTTGATGGGAGAGGTAGTGAAAGTGATGAAAGAGAAGGGCGACGGAACAATCGTGAATGTCGCGAGCAAAGCCGGCATAAGCGGCGCTGCAGCTGGTGTCGCTTATACCGCGAGTAAACATGGACTCGTACGTGCGACTTGTTTGTTTGAGTTCCACGTTGATTGAAGTTTTATCCTTTAGGTCGGCGCGACGACGAATACCGCCTGGCACTATAAAGAGGACGGCATAAGATGCAACGCCATAATGCCTGGGGGTCCATATTCACGCCGCTTGATATTCATTGCCTCTGATAACGTTCTCTTTCGCATCAGGCGTGGCCACGAATATTGGCAGCACCTTATATGATATGGATATTGCGTCCAGTATGAGAATCAAGTCAGTACAGATATACTCTCATATGTGTATCATCCTGAGCATGATTTAGACCTGTACTCGACGTTCATATGAACGCCGTTACGAGCGAAGGGATCGCAGCACCGGAAACAATTGCGCAAGTCATAGTCTTCCTTGCCTCTGACTCGAGCAAAGGTATCAGCGGTACTATACTGCCTGGAGTACAATATAGTAATACGTCTGTCTTATGGATTTGACCAAGCAATCTATCCTTCCAAGGGTCCAGACGCATGTTGACGAAAAGTGTACCTGTGTTTATTTCACGTCCATCATAGCTTCCTGAAGCTTCAAGACTTGCAGAATCAGAAGGTGATTGCCTCCAATGCCGGCACAGCGTGATTCCAGGGGTGATTGTTGGTCCATGGATTTATAGTCGCAGGTAGGTGGTACTTATTAGATGTGGCTTTACCGTCCGAGACGTGAAGCGATGCTCAGGATCATAGGAACGTCTTCAGACCCAATGGGTCGGTGCTAACTGTGATTGCACCATACATCGTTTTCGAGCGGGATCAGCAGCGATACTGGTATCATCTGCTGCAACCACTGCCACGCTACTATTACTACCGCTGCGTGTTTCTCGCCGAAAAAGTCTGTGGATGTTCTAATAGTTCTTCTTGCCGACTGAGTGTTCTTCACCAGGTAGATATTATCACTGGCTCTTTCAGCAGAGACAGGCTCACCTATCTAAGCGTGTGCATAAAGTAGTAAGAACAACGTTATGAGAACTCAGTCGGCACAGTAAAAGGTGAAATGACTGAGGATGTGGTAGTAACTACGAGGTATATGTATGGGCGGTATGAAGTATAGGAGGTCGGGAAATGAAATATGGGTAAGTAGGCGGGAAAGAATCGGGTGCACGTGTCTCGTTCGACAGTGCAGGAGCGTATCAAAGGGCTGGATTTGACGACGCCAGTGAAGTTGATGCAAGAAGCGACGGATTGTGATGAAGCAAAGGGTTACGAGGTTGCTGCATGTAAAGCGGGGGATAAGCGGAAGTTGTCAGAGTGCCAGGAGGTCGGTTATAACACTCCATTCCGGCTCATATATACTGACAATTGTGATCTTTTCAGGTACCGTGACAAAAATGCATGCATATATACCGTGCGCCCTTCGCCCATTATGAGGCGTGCTGTGGGCATCAGTCTAGATTTCCATCACTGCGACAATATCATGAACACCTAGTAAAGAGGTTACATCACCGAAGTCAGTACATGTACAGATTTCTATATCTTGACGGCTCATTTTAAACCCTGGGCATGATTTAGGCTTCCAATTCTAGCAAGGTAGGAAGAATACTATACTGCCAGTTGAAAGCTTGAATGGTTGGGATCCAAGCCAGTCATTTCACTCTTAGGATTTAGGTTTCATTGTCCATATTGAGTATTACTTCTTATCTTCCAGAGCGATGCATTGATGTTTTTCGGTTTAAGTTCCCCACTTCCTGCAGAAGGCGGTGTCCGACAAACAAGACTGTGGTTCCTACTGCGGATTTGTTACTGCAGCCCTCTGATTGGACAGTGTGTTTGATCAAGACTGCATGATTGACCCTGATCCGCTGTCTTTGCAACGTGTTAGTGGCCAGACATCCCTATATAAACTCTGTAAGTCAGCATTTTTTTAACTCTTGCACTAATGTATCTTCCTCGTGTTACACCGTTACTGACGCTCTGTGGCCTGGTTGTCGCCGTGCAGTCTTCAAACGTATGTCGTTCCCCTGTCTCAGTCAACATGCGCACTGAGATTCAAGATAGTCCTCGTCGGTGACCGGAGATTCACGATGCGGCCAAGTATATACCTTCCACCTACTTTCCCTCCGTCCAACTAATGGTCGTCCGTAGTACATGTGTGTCAAGGCGACCGTGAACGAAACTACGGTGCAATGTTCGGCCCTTGCTTCCTGGGGCCCTGTCCTGTAACAACTAATTGGGGTACGTTTAGATGCTTTATCGAGCACGGGTTCCCGCACCGCGGGGTGGATGGGCATGTATGTCTTCGTTCATTCCTTATGGTGATCTTCGTTTGCTTATAGCCGACAAATAGAGGATTCGGGAGCCAGATGGACAACACGCAAATGGTCATCATGTGGTCCAACAGCGATGGATCCATAACGTTATCTCAACGCCTGGGAGACGGCCATAATCTGCCGCGGGTCGACAGCAGCCCTGACCGAGTCGCAACCCTCGTCGAAGCTGAAAGTTCTGTACGTACCTTCACAAGACGTCTTGTATCGCTTTTCATTTATTTTCTTCCAGACGTTGACATCAAATACTACATTCACATTTACTGTCGACGTATGCTACACTCTCCCCCCTTTTTAGCGCGTGTGTACTGACAAGGAGGCTCCTAGACAACGAATGCTACGACGCAAAGAATAATTTTTGGATTTGGATCCACCAATCCTGGATCCTCTAGCGTTGACGCTGACCTTGCCGAGCATATTAGTTATGGCAGTTTCGACCTGAATCTAAACGGAAACATAACCTCCCGTGATCCTCTAGAGTCTTACGAACGCATGCTTATCGCGCATGCCATCCTTTGCATTCTGGGCTTTCTTCTATTTCTACCCTTTGGGTCTTTACTTGCCCGATATCTCAGAACATTTACTCCAAAATGGTACACAGGCCACTGGATTTCTCAATTTGCTCTCGGCAAGTCTTCAAAGACTCGTTTCGACAATCATCTTATAACACGTGCTTTTAGCGGGACCTCTCATTACTGTGGGGTTTGCCTTGGGCGTGCAGGGCGTGAGTTTACAGCATGTACCTCATCTCGACGACGATCACCAAGTGTGTTGTGTTTCATCTCTGTCTCCTTTCTCACTTCTAACGTCACCATTCCCTCAGAAATGGGGGGCCGGTATATTTGTCCTTTACTTGGCGCAATGTGCTATAGGTGCTTTCATTCACTGGGTAAAGCCCAAGAAACGTCTTGGTCGTCCGCCCCAAAATTACTTCCATGCTGTCCTTGGATTGATTGTCATCGGTCTGTCATTCTACCAAGTTAGGACAGGGTATGTGAGCGAATGGCCTAATACTACTGGCCGAGGAACTGTTGCAAACGGTGCGAACATTGTATGGTATATATGGGTTGTGGTGCGTCTTTCAGTTCAAATCATACAGACTGCTCGGTGAACCTTGCCATTCAGTTGTTGCCGGTTTTATACTTGGCCGGGTTGGCGTTTCTACCTAAGCAATATAGACAAGAAGCAAATGCTAGAAAAGAACGGATCAACTCGGACGAGAATCTAATGAACCTCGTTCCACAGCACTATCACGATTGAGTTTGGAGGATATGGAATGTTTTAGATTTCGGCGCTGAAAGTCGGTCGCCATTTGGGTTTCTCGTATGGACTACTCATGTAGAATATAAACCTGTAGATTCTGTTGCTACTATGTCGCGTTTTGCCTGCATTTACCAAAGACAATTTCCGTTACTCATTTTGTTTGAGTCTAACCCCGTGATTCTATGGATTAATGTTGTTGCATGAGACCTTTACTGAGGGCTTCATTTACCTATATCCTAGATCTAAAAATGCTTTGCGGCAGACTTTTTTTGACGAATTTCCTTTTTTTTGACTTCGGGAGCTCCCGTGTGGCTGTGCTTGTCGATCTGTCGCGAACTGGGCCTCGATGAGCCGCCACCTAGAACTCTCTTGGAACTCTCTACTGGCAGACGGCTCGGAACTTTTTCTGGACAGACTGAAGCATATATAGAGCTACGAAAACGAAATAACTGGCTTTTTGAATCCTTAGATGGCTCCGCTACTGTCCAAAATCTTTCCCCGAACCCCCGTAATATCTGATGGAGGACTGGTGAGTCGCTGTGTTGACTCATGAACATAATAAGTATCTCAAGGATGGACTCTAGGGAACTACACTTGAAAATGACTTTCATGTCGATATATCGAATACACCTCTATGGTCCTCACGAGCCGTCGTCGAGCAGCCCGACGTCATGATTCAAGCCCACCTCGCCTTTCTCCGCGCCGGCGCGCAACTCATCCTCACCTCCACGTAAGTTTTTCCACTGTATTAGCATCTCCCAATTGCGTACTTCACGACCGTCAAATTCCCAGGTATCAATCTTCGTTCAGCACGTTCTATCGATCTGGATACAAAAAAGACGAAGCGATCGCGATCATGCGTAAATCTGTGCAGCTAGCCAACGAGGCGCGCAAGATCTTCATTGATAGCGCGCGTCCTGCAGGCTCACACGACGTGCGGATTGGTCTTTCTTTGGGCGCATTCGGTGCGAGCCTGGGTATCGCACACGAATTCGACGGGTACTATCCTCCTCCATATGGACCTCGGGCGTACACAGAAGGAGACAATCTCAACTCGTACAGTCCAGATGAGACTGAGCAGGAGCAAGCATCCGTCGACGCTCTCGCTTTGTTCCATTTCGAGCGCGTTGAGGTCTTCCTGAGCGATCGGGAAACCTGGGGCCAAATTGACTGTCTTGCATTTGAGACGATTCCTTTGGTTAGAGAGATACGGGCTATCAGGAAAGCGATGGGAATGGTGGAAGCTCGGATAACGCAAGACGGCCTCGGCCTCGAGTCAAAACCGTGGTGGATAGAAGCCGTGTTTCCTGATGGAGTGTATCCCGAAACTCTACCAAGAGCAGAAGGAACGCGACTCGGGGTTGCTGATGTTGCTGCTGCGGCGCTGAGGGACGATGGCTTACTACCCGCTCCGTCTGGTTTTGGAATTAACTGTACCGCCATGGAGCATGTACGGGCTCTGGTACCCCAGGTCACCAATACGGTGAAGGAGCTTCATCTGCCTCAGAAACCTTGGTTGGTAGTATATCCAAACGGAGGCGACGTGTACGATGCAGTGACACAAACATGGATGACGAGTGATACAAGGTCTGTAATTGAGAAGCGCGAAGAATGGGTACAGAATATGGAGTGCATCGTGAAAGATATTGAAGGTGAAGTACCATGGGGGGGCATAATAGTCGGTGGATGTTGCAGGACCAATCACGAAGATGTCGAGAGGTTATGTTCCATACTGAAACCAGAGATTACCCCTTGAATTTTTCTCAGAGGGCTATAATATAACGATTTGTCCTGGTCTTCCGAACACAGTACCTGCAGTGGCAGCGGCCGATGTTCAGTACAATAGGTTTTCACACGCGCCGCTGTGTAAGAAAATGATGGGATATAGAAACGAAGCCAGGAAGAGACTGCTGCGATCTTTAATTCATGGGGCAAGGGCGGCGGCGACGGGGATCATCAACCATCGAGGAATTGGCAATGCCTGCCAAGAACGATAGGTGTTATCGGGCATTTCGGGCGTGGAAGAAGGAATTCCTGGTTTGCTGCGCAAGTCAGACTCGGACACATTGGCCTTGGCCAACCGCAGATGCAACCTCAATCAGCCCAACCCAGGGGCGCCAAAATACCGAAAACGTCCGTTGCTGTATTCCACATCACACGCCGAGAGACCAGTGGGAAAAGAATTCATGGAATGGAGGGACTGTGTTACGAGTCGTTCCACGGCCCGATACTTTTACCTGACGTTTTCCCTCTTTCCCCCGTCTCCCCGGTTTAGCCCGTATTTGTTATTCCCACCATATATATATATATGCCAGTACACGTATTGTAGCTAGGGGTTTTTCGCAATCAACCAAGCCTATAAGCCTGTCAGTGACTGCGCGAGCCTTTCGTGAGAGAAGTGACTTTCGCCACCCTCTCATATTTTTGACAGTTCCATTGGCTTAATCTTTGCTTTTATCTTTTTCTCTCTCTCATCTGCGCTTTTCTCTCTAAACTCTCTATATCTCTCTTTGTCGATATCTGGATCCCCTACGGCTTGATCACCCGAGGACATTCCGACTTCGACACCAATATCTAATTTTCTCTTTACTTCTTAGTTCCTTAGGATGTCGCGTTACCCTTTGCGCAGCCATC